ACAGACATAATACAGTCTGTCGCCGATTTTGCCCTCTCCTAATTTTACCTTAAATTTTCTTCTATTTCTCTAAATTCTATTTGTTTTACTCTTGTTGAAGTACTTTGGGCTTGGAGTAACTTAGGCTTGGGCTTGCAATAGTTTATATAAGATGAGAGGTCACTTTATTTATTTATAACACAACATTTATAAAAATTACATACATCTAAAACTCCAAATTAATTCCCATTTAAAATCATAAATAATTCCTCTAAATTTAGTCATAAACATTTGTATATTTTGGGGGTTTTTAACTTCTACATCATCAGAATTTACTAATTCATGATATAATCCATTTTCATAAATTATTTCCAAAAATTTCTTTACAGAATTTTTACAATTTGTTTCAACATCTTCTGCCAAATTTAAAATTTTAGTATAAAATCGTTTTGCCTCTAAAGGCAAAAAATGAATTTCTCCATTAAATTCCCATTTTCCCCCACATTTTTCTTCACTTTTTTTATTAATATGTTCTCTAATTTGTTCAATTTTTTTATTTTGTTCAATTTCATTCTTAAATTTTCTTCTAAATATAAAATTATTTATTTTAGTATTATTTAATTTTATAAAATTATTTAATTTTATAAAATTCCAGATTTTGTAATGATATTATAAATTAAAAACCAACCGTTTTCCTCCTATATCATTAAAAATATGAATTTTTCTTGCATGCAGTATTCCCTTTAAAAATACGGAATTCAGTTTGAAATATGTTTCTAATTTTTTTGCGGTGATATTTCCATATAAATGTAATACACACAATCCTTGAATAAAAGCTTCCTAAATTTATAATTAAAAAATTATTTGTAAACGAATTTACCAAGGTGATTGATCATATTTTCTAATACAATCTCGAAAAAGTTTATAGGTCCTTTGACGGATTTACGAGATCAGTCTGATCGATTTCATTGGGGATTAATTTTCTTAAATAATTTTTGTTATCAATTATGAGCGTATTTGAAGACAACTATTCTCAAAATACCTCGATTTCCTTTTTTGATTTACAATTTTCCCTGTGATGTTCATATGCCTGTTTAAATTCAAAATTATCTTCCATATAATTATCAAGAATAATATTTTGAGTTATTGGATCTAAATAAAATTCTCTTTTTATTTGTATTTCGTTTCCAAAAATTTTATTTTGGCATTCGTTTATCTGATCCAATTTGTTTATTGCCCATATATTATTTTGACGACTAGTAGAAATTCCTTTCATTCTTTCATTTAGTCCGTTTAAAAATCTTTGTTTTTTTCTTCTACTTTTTTCTTCATTATTTTCAGAATTATATTCTTCAGAACAATTATATGCACCAACAGAATCTTCTGATAATAATTTTTCAGATCCTTCAGGATTATATTCTTCTTCAGAAGAATCATTTGCAGCAACAAAATATAGTAAATAAAGAATTAAATTTAATAAAAGCAAATTAAATTTATTTCTTAACATTCCTTTAAAAATAATTTTAAATAAAATATTTTATTTAAAATATGCCCATTAAAAATTTTGAAATGACGTAATAAATTAAGTGTCTGTAAAATCGCTGATGGCAGAAATTGAGAAGCACATAAGCCCTGAGACGCTAATTATTTCTGACAGTTGGAAATGATACAAGCATGATGAACTTCTGCAGGCTGGCTTTTCTCACTTCACTGCTATCATCGTTACAACTTCGTGGATCCTAGAAACTTAGCTAATACACAAAAAATAGAACTACTTTGGGGATTTGCGAAATGGAGAAACAAAAAACATTGTGGAACAGCGCGCATCATTTGAAAGTTATTTAGCAGAATTCATGTGCAGACAAGAAGTTAAAAAGTGAATTTTTTGAATAGATTTTATATAAAAATTGCGGAATTTTGGCCTCCAAAATAATGTTTAGATATTGTCATTTTGCCTTTTTTTATAAATAATATTTCGTTTTTATAAATGAATTTAATCTTGCCCATTAATTGACTTTGACCATTTTTTAATCTTGAAGAGAAAATAGAAAGGCAAAAGAGAGGAAAGAAGAATGAAATGGGTGGCATAAAAAATGCGGGCCTATAATGTTGTTTGGAACCATACCCAAGCATTGCAACACCAAGAAACCCCTAAGTTTTTGTTGTATTAACGTCTAAATTTCATTGGACGCATAAACTAGACCAGCGCCAAAAAATTTTTTAGTGAATGAGTGTTTTAAAAAGAAATTTAAATAAATGTTTAATTAATGAGAGAAATTCTCTAAATAAACGAGCTTATATGATAGCCATTAATGTGGAGAAGCTTATTTTGTAAAATAAAATTAAATCTGCCCTTTGTCTTAAGATTTATTTTTAAAGGCAGGAAAGAATTAAAATATAAAATCGTAAAAATTGGGAATAAAATCGAAAAAAATTTTTCATTATGGTATAAAATAATACGCAAATATTTTATTTATGAGCAACAATCTGGTATAAAAAATAACCTAATAATGGTGTAAATAAAAAATTAAATGACTAAAATAATTAAATTAATTTAATGAAAAATACATTTAGCGTGTTTGTTGAAATAATTTTTTTAATTTTGCTATAAAAACTTTTTTATTCAACCACAGTATTATGTATGTCCAAGGCCTTATATTTATTCTGTAGTTCTCTCTCAATTTAAAGAGGAACTCATAAACTAAAAATAAATTAAACTATTTATTTACAAAAAGTCTTGTTCAAAATAAGGCAAAAAATAAGAATTATATAAAGCTATTTATATAAAATGATAGAGGGAGGAAAGTTCTGAGTTGTTCTCTCTTAATATGTTGTTCATGCTGTGGAGAAATTCATTGGATGGCAGATGGAATTGAACCATCACAGAGACACAACCGAATGTGCCACCATCCAAACCGATGATGAGTTTTTACTTTCATTTATATTTTTTCTGCAAGTGCCGTCAACTGACTCGATGCCCGACTAGATAAAAATTAGGCCCGAAAAAGACCGACTGAAATTAGGGTTCGATTATACGGGGCGGGGCTGTGGGGAACGGGAGGAATGCATGCTAAAATTTTGGACGTTTCCAAATCATCAGATAATTACTCTTCATCATCTGGATCCGATTCGATTGATGGCTAACATCCTTTTTTTTAAAAATTTATAGGTAAAAGGATTATACACTCTGTTCCAAAAGTATATTACATTCGATATCCCTCCAAATCCATTGATATCCCCATAAACACCCAAATCTCTCCAAATAACCCAGTATTGTATTTAAGCCTTTTAATTTTATTAAATTACTGGGACTCAGTTGAGCTAAATAAAAGAGCAACTCAGTCGTGCGAACTCAATCGTGATGGCTTAATGAAATGCTCGGATTTTGTAAGGCAAATATAGAAGGATTCACTCTTTTCAGCGCCGCAGGCGAAAATTTTTTGAAATTCAGAAGGCCAAAGGTCAAAAATTCTCAGTTTTATTAAAAAATACAAGAAAATTGGGGTCTTTGAGTCAGTATCGTTTCTCGCCGAGAAATGGACCGAGAATATCGGTATCGGTTTCGAGACCGAGAATGAAAAAACCGAGACCGATATTGGAAAAAAGCCGAGAATCTCGGTATCGGTCTCGGTATCGGTCTCGGCTTGTCCAACTCTAGTTCTGAGTATAATATTATAATACATAAATAGGAAAAATTATTTAAATGAAGTTAGAAAAATATTTTTTAATTTTTTTTGTTTACTTCTTGTTTACTGTAAAGTACAAGTACCATTTACACAATTACTGTTTAGACAAGGATCTTCTCCTACAAAAAAATTAAATTTTAGAAAATTCCACAGCCAAAAACTTGCCATTAGTAAAGCCTGCACAGTTTCCACCTTGACGGACTTTAGATACACACAATGGAACTGTGTGTGATCGGTCACAAAATAAATATCTGGATTTAAAAAATTTAAAAAGTAAATTGAAAAAATTAGCAATAGAAATATGAGAAGGAAGGCGTGAGGATTGGGTGAACAGAAAATAATTCCGGTATCCGAACTTTCGGAGTGGATATCGTTTTCTAATCTCGATATCCGAAAATTTAATCAAAACTACCAAATTAAATCTTAAGCGCTGCATCCAAAATATTTTGTTTAGGAGAGAGATTAACAAGAGGGGGACGGGAGACAGTGAGATTAATGTAGATTAACGGGAGGGGGCCTTTAAAATAGAATAGATCTAAAGGCAAAAACCCCTAAACACGGTAGCAACAAGGCAAATTTTCTCAATAGAACCAAATGGAGTCATCCTTCCACTTAGGGAACTTTAAATTATTAATCCCCTACTTTGATCCGCATTCAGTAGTAAAGCTACAAGTAGGTCTTTGTTGATATTCAAACATATTATCGGTATATTCGTTTCTAAGTCCGTCCCAATTTTGTAGAGGCTTAAAAATTTTTTTGAAAAATTAAAAAATTCAAAAATAAAATTTATTTTACAGCAAATTGAGTCATATTTGCAAATTTAAAATGTTTCTCGGATTCGCAAGCCTAAAATAAATTAAATTATTTTAAAATTGCAGGTTTTACAGCAATATCAGCTGGATAGTCATTAGCTCGTTGTGTTCTATTTTGGGCATTTTCTCTCCATAGTTCAAAAACCTATCAAAAAACTTTTATAAATAATTCTAAATTATTTTTAGCTTCCAAGACAGATTATTTTTATTCAACCTGTAAATAAGGCGTTTTTTTTATTTTGGAAAAAATGCTGAACAAAGGTTGTTTCTGTCCCCATTTTCCGAATAAAAGTAAAGGCAAGAGTAAGACCTTAAACTAATCATTGTCTCGTTATCCTCTTACAAATGTACCTTGATTAATGGAGAGAGAGAGAGAGAGAGGAGGAGCGAGTTGGGGGTGTGGATGATAACTATTGTTCAGTACGAATAGTAACAAAAGTGTTCAGTATGGCTATGTACGAATAGTAACGAAAAGTAACGAGTCGTTATTTTCGTTAGAAGTTTAAAATTATGCCGACACTAATTATACTAGGGTAGATTTTATTGGGAGAGGTATATCAAGAGTTACAGTATAACGAGAGTATCGAATAAAATAATCTTTAAAATTTAAAAAATTAACCAAATCAACAAAACAATGGTGCATATAAAATATAGGGTCATTTCCAGGTTTATTAGGAATAAATGTAGCCATGTCCCCACCAATAAATAAGTGTGGTTGTCCATGAGTGATCTTTAAAAAGCAGGATTAATTTAAATATAAAAATAATTTTATCACTTCAAAAGCATCCCATTCAGGTTTTATTGGACATTCACGCCTTGCGGAGGTATAAGCAAGTATTCTTTCCACTTTTGTTTGTGAAAGGGTCCGATCAACACTGAAAAAAAGGATTTTTTGAATATTGTTTCAAAGTGTTCAGTATAAATTTCTTTTTACTACTTCAGCAATCATCATATGCTCCTATTAGTTTACCTCTATTAGTTTACCTCCAATGTCCTCTTCAAGGATGGGTCCTTATGTACTCCGAACTTTTTTTAAATTTTCGACTTTACACATCTAGACTAGTTCGAATTTCTGTTATTTTCAATTGCTATTACTGATACACCTCTGTTACAGACTAATTCATTTGTCCAATGCAGACAACATATGCCCTTTTCTGTTCATCTCAAACTATCTAAAATGTAACTTCAGAATATTCCTGCCTAGGTAAAATAGCCTCCCTAATCGTTCAACTTTTAAATTTTCTAACTTTAATACCACAAGTATTTACTCACTCATATTCTGTAAAGCATCTGCCAACCTTGCCAACATCACGTGTAATATAAGGATCTCCCTAAAATTTATTTTCAAGTAAATAATAAATAGAAAATCACCTCAAGAGTCTTCCAAGGAGTAAAAGGTCCAGTAACAACATAACCTTGTTTATTTGTTGATCCAATAAACTAATAATTAATTTAATTGTTTAAATTTAAAGTATTACATCTTTAGTAAAAAGAATAGAATCTGCCGGATTTGGCAATCGACCATCCAAAGTAGAATCCCAATAGGGCAAGCCAAGGGTTGGGTTATATTTTCGAAGCAGAATCTCGAACCTTAATAAATTTTTAATTAAATATTGAAAGGTGTATTCTAGCTGAGAAGGCTAAATGGCACTTTAATTCATTACTTTTTAAGTAAGCAATGTGAATATTCGACAATTTAATTCATTATATAATGTTTTCCATTCTTCTCATTAAAATAGAGTTAGGCCAAACTCATATTATTCACCAATAATGTCATTTTATATTTCCTATACGAGGACCTGATCAACACTCAGAGCTTGACTGATTAAGTGTGAAGGAATCCCGGACTCAAGTCTATACAGATATCCCAAATGGAAAGGTTTTCGCTAGCACCATCCAGTTGGCGTGCTGTGTTTCTATATCAATTCTTGTTTTTTTAGTCTTCAATTGGCTAAGATAGAGAGGATATATATATATGAAGACCTTATCTTTATATAGTTTACATGTACACACAGATGAGTGACACTGATTGTGTGACTCTCACATGAGTGACTCTTCCTATTGGGCCAACTAACGACTATGAAAAATGATGTAATATTATTACCTTTTAAGATATTCCCTATGCCAAACGAAAAAAGCAGGTCCATTGTGAGCTCCTCCATTTACGAATGCTAATCTGTGTATTAAGGCTATATAATCAAAACCTCCTTTATTTTTCATTTCTCTCACTGCTTTAAACTTTAAAAATAATTTTTTATTTAATTTTAAACTAAATTTACAAAATCATTTCTTTCTTTATCTGATAACATTCTAATTTCTTTTCGAAGTGCTTTTTGAAGTTTTTGGCCATTTGGAAGGGTACAATCATTAACAGAACCATTAGTTTTGCCTAAAAAATTTTTAGAACCTCAAAAATAAAAATTTCAAAAGTTTACACTATAAATTAATTGAAATAAGGGTAAAAATACCTCCATAATAAGAACAAACACAGCTTTGGGTTATACACTCCAACTCTCTTCTAGATGGGGCAATTCCTTCTGTATTATTCGGAGAATCTGAAAAATGATTTAATTTGTAATTAAGCCTATAGTTCAAAAACTGGAGCATTTATTGTAGTCCAATAATGGATTCACGGTCATTAGCGTTTCAGAAAGATACTAATCCATTTTCTTGTTTCATTGCTCTAAAAATTTCTCGAGGCCTTCCCCAGTGTCTGAGATCAACCTATTACATAATAAATTCTCTCTCTCGCTTGTTTCCCTTCCCAATTCCTCTATGAAATATTCCATAATTAGGTATCTCTTCTTTAATTTCAACATTCCTCCCAAAAATTTTTTAATAAAAATCACAAACTCACATTTAGGGTCCATCTTCTAAATTTATTTTTAAAAATTAAAAATAAGTTATTTTTAAAAACCTCCGAATTTTCCCCAAAAATAACATTATTTATTGTAACATTACATAAAGCTTTTAACCCAAAAGTAGGCTCTTTATTACAGTCATATTTTTGTTGACAAAAGGCATTAGTAATTAGAATATTTATGGCAAATAAGCCGATTAAATAAAATTTAAAAATTTCCATTTTCTTTATACCTCAAAATAAAGCATAAAAATTTGCAAATAAATTTACTGTAATTTTTTGAACTTGCAACCTTTGTTTAATTGACCTTTACAGGATTTAAGTTCCAATAATTCCAAGAATTCTCTGTGACCTTAAGAACCCATACCTGACAAAGCGTGGGGGTCTTACGGCAAACAAAATCTAACCAAACTAAAGATGAAAGCCATGAGCTATCTTTATGAGTGACTGAAGGAAACAAAAATTTGTATAATATATAGCTAGGAGAGAGGTACTCAGTATGGAACAAAGGCCAGAGCTTTAGAGTTAAGTGGAGAGATTCAGAAGAGGAGCGGAAAAATCATGTGAGATTCATGATACTGGGGGTTCCTTTTGTTTCGGGGCGGGGCTCATGTCGATGGAGCAAAATATGGTTGGGATTCGAGTCGGGACAGGTCGTTTAAATAAAATTTTAAAGATAAAATACCCAAAAATAATACGATTTAATTATTAAGGAGGATTTGTAGTGATTAAACGGATATAAAAGATGTAGGAGGATTAAATGGGATTTGAGATGATAACATGCTTTTGAGGAAATTTATCAGGCGTTTCGAAACATGATCGAAAATCTTCTGTTTTCGTCTTAAAAATGAGTTATTGTGAATGGAAGGAATTTGTGGAGATATACTCAATAGCTTTAAAATTTTTTTCTAAGCTTTAATCCAACAATTTAATGAGAGTATGTATTTGTAAATTATTATACCTGAATTTTGATTTATAATTTTTGGATAAAGCTTAAACGCTTTAAATAAATTTAAATAGAAATTTACACTTAGCTGACTCTCGCGAACCTTTGGTAAAATATATAAAAGATTTTACTTCGAATACAGCTCTACCACGTTTGAATTTGTACAGCTTATGTATTTTAATCGAATGGATAAATAATTATCAAACTAAAATTATATAAAATTTATATTAATCTCTTGCGTATTTCAATTTATATGCGTCAATAAAATTAAATAAAAAAACTTTTTCTTTAATTTAACACGTTGCAACTTCAATTAATTCTAGAAAAACCGATTTTGAGTTATTTTAAGTATTTCCTTATAATTTATTGAATATATCTATTTGACGATTCCTGAAGAATAGAAACTTTCGTTTGGCTTAAAAAACTTTAAAAAATGATTTTTAGTTTCTTCAACAATGAATTAAGTGATACAATGGCGAACAGTAAAATAAGTACTAGCTCGTATAAATTATGGCTGAAGAAAAAATTTGCTCAAATATAAAAATGCCAAATGAAACATTTGTCAATGTATACAAAATGTATTTTGGGAATAAAATTGCCGAAAAATTCCCAAAAAATTTCATCTATAGGGGTGTATATTTTAAACCGAAACGGGTCGGTTTATGTCAGTGGTTTTCCCCCTACTTTCTGATCGGTTAATTCGCAAAAGACACCGGTTTTCGGTTCGTTTAACCGACCGCCAACAACCCTACTGTATGATTATTAGAAATTATCGACACATTTTTGTCTATAAATTTCAAGAAATTTTTATTAAAAAAATTTTTTTCAATTTTGTCCAACTCTTTTATTAAAAAATATTTTTTTATCAAGTCCTCTTATTCATTATCTATCTAATATCTCTCTATATTCATTCCTCTTTTAAAATCACACAGCTGGATGGGTATAATGAAAAGCACATTTTTTGCTTTCCCAAATAAGAAGAAATTTCTGCTCTTTTAGCTAAAGAATTAGTTAAAAATAAGAAAAGAAAAAAAGATTTTTTGGTTTAAAAGTATATCTACTATTTGTTAGAGGAAGATGACTGCGCAGTACAACAATTAATCGGACTTCCATTGAATATTTTTTATTTTTATTTTTTATATTGATATTTATTTATTTATTGTTCGTTATTTTAAATTATTCATTTTTTAAGTATACATCTATAAGAATTTAATTTAAAGTTGCCGTAATCGTAATGGTTTTTACCATCCCATGTAGTCTGTTCCTCCTTGTTAAGTTTTTTGTAAATTCCATTTCAAACTTATAACTCATATTATTCTTTTTAAAGTATTTTTCTCAATGTTCATTTAATGTTTCTTTTCGGATTTTGGTATGCCGATACACTCTGTAACAAAATGATAGCGCCACCTAGTTTTTATCAATATCTCACCAAATATGAAACGAACTGTTTCAAATTTTGGTAGAATATAGTTAAGGATATTAAGTATCAATAATGAAAAGAAAAAGTTTAATGCAACTTTTTAAAGGGATTTTTGTAGATTTTTCGGACCACCCCTAAGGTCGAAGATATAATTGGCGTTATCTTTTTGTTACACTTTAAAATCAAATTTATTATCATAAAATTGTTTCAAAAATTGCATTAAACTTTTTCTTTTCATTATTAATACCTAATATCCTTAACTATATTCTACCAAAATTTGAAACAGATTCGTTTCATATTTGGTGAGATATTGATAAAAATTAGGTGGCGCTATCATTTTATTTTCTAACGTCTAAACGGATTTCTAACGTCTAAAGTTTCATTAATTCTTGTTAATACAAAATTTTTAAAATTTTATTATAAATTTCCCTAAAGCAGTGTTTGGACACAAACGCAATTTAGTTAACAAATATTTTTATTAAACACACAATTACGTATATCCCTCTCCCTCCCCCAAAAAATATTTATTAATAAAAATCCGCTTTATAAAAGTTTGTATAAATAAATTCTTCTCATTCTTCTCTCTAATATATAATGCACTAATCAAAAAAACTAAAGAAATATTTCTTTGATTTCCAGCATTTATTCATTCATTCTTGTTTAATAAAGCCAGAAAATTAAATATATTTTTCTTTTAAAATTGATGAAGCAGAAAAATGATTTTATACAGATTATAATTTTACTTTTTGCTTTGATTGTTAGACAATCGAAAAGTTCTAGTGAGTTTTTAAATTAATTTTTAATTAATTTAGAACTGAGTAAAAATTATTTTTTTCGCAATCCGCAGTCCGCAAGTCCAAAAATACACTAATTTACGTAATCCGCAGTAGCAATCCGCAATTGCGGACGGCCCTTTATAAGACGCTTGATGAAGAATTATTAGTATCATAAACAAAAAAATCACAAATTATGTACTACAAGGAATTTTATTCCTCAACGTGTAGGGATATGCCAATGACGAGTACATTTATTCCACAAATGGAGAGGATGTTCAAATGTTGAATAACTTTTCTTACTTTTGGAACAAAGTACATAATTTGTGATTTTTTAGTTTTAAAATACTGATAATTTTTTACTCAAATATTAATTCTCCCCCAAATACCGGTACTCAATTCTCAAATGTCAATCCCCAAATGCCTTTATCCAGAAAAGTTTGCTCGTAAGTGTCGTATAACCTAAATTATTGTATTTTAAAATGTTTCCAAAATAACTTTTTATTTTTAAAAATTTGAAAAATGAACAATAAATTTTACAGGATGTGTTGTAAGCAAATGGAGGCAATGGGGGTAAAAGATAATTTATTTACTTAACGTCTGATCTCTAATTTATATAACGTCTGATCTCTAATCAGAGTGGCCTGTTCCAAAAATAATGGGAGAAGACCCTCAAAAATAGGGAAAAATTGGGCAAAATCAGTCAAAAATAAGGCAAATGCCCTGTAAATAAGGTAAAAGGGCCACACTGATCACAGTCTAATATCGATACATAAAACGACCTCTAACTTGAATTACACCTCTCAAGATAACTAGCCTTTTCGCCGGTCAATTGAAATATTTGAGTTATATAGGGATCTGACTGTATATCATTTTTAATTTTAGAGAATGCCAAGGAGATTGTGAATTTGCTTTAAGAGTAAGAAACAGAGACGTATTAAAGCCTCCCTTTCCCGAAAAAGATGAAAAAACTTTGCAAATGTTTCTTAGAGAATGTCCTCCACTTTATCAAGTAGAACAATGCCAACCAAGAGAATGTGTGGATGAAAGTCCTTTTAATAGAGTAAATTTTCATTTTTATATTTGAATTTTCAATGATAAGAATTAATTATTTATTGAAATCTCGCAATTTTGGGGAACAATAAAACACTCATTAGCTCGGTCCGCCAAAATTATTTTTCTGATTCAGGGAAAATGGTCAGGAAACAAATCGGTCAATTAGCTAGTTTAATTAAATATGAAGGTTGTTTCTAATGGGACCTCACAGATTAAGAACTTAATGTCTTTCTATGTAGGATGTGATAACTATTATTATCGCTGACAATTATCTCTTGAGAGATAAATGATAAAAGTATGAAAGACATCTGATATATGTAGTGTATGTCTTTTCTGATTTCTTTTCTTTAATGTTTCACTTAACGTAGATCTAATAAAAGTTCATCTCCAATAGATCCTCTAAATCTATGCTAAAAGCTCACATAAGGCAATCCACACACTTTAGCACACTGGTTTTGGATGCACCAAGTGAGGCACTTTCGAATGACATATCATAATCTAAGATGTCACTAAACTCAGCGAAAATAATTTAATATAATTTAAGATACCCAC